GAAGGCAACATCTCCCTGGCCAGGGCTTGATACTGAGGGCATCTCCCTATTGATGACACCAGCCTGGAGGCATACGTGGGGCTGTCCAGAGTGAGCCACCTAAGATGTTTGTCTCTGAGGCTGTCTCTGGCTCCAGATATCAGGGAAAGGTCTCAGGTGTCTGATCCTGAGCTTCATTCGCAGGGCCAGAGTGAGAGGTAGCACCTTCCGCTGAAGCCTGGACCATACTCGGTCATCGGGGGAAGTCCAGTCAGCCCAAGCACATCACCAAGAGGCACCTTCACAGGCCTTTCCTCTGCTCTGTCAACCTTTAAGGACTGAAAACATTCAAGTGGAACCAATTTCTCTAAATGTGAGCTCTGCAAAATCCCTTAAAGGGGGTCTGTCAACCTACCCACATCATAGAAGAAAAAACTAGGGTCCTGCCTGAAAGGGAAACATGTGTCTCAAGTCAGAAGATCCCGGAGTGACAGATATCTGGACCCCTGCCTCCTGCTTGGTCCTGCCCTTGTCTCGCAATCTTCCCCAGACAGGCAGCTCCCCGCCCGCCTCCTACTCCCAACAAGTTCAGCTCAGCGCCAGGCTGCCGATGCTCAGTTCAGCCTCCCCCTGTGCTGGCACCTTTCCAGTTCCCCGGGCAAGGTATCTAGGCTCAACCTGCAGGTGGAGGGGCGGCAAGGGCCCTGCCCAGAACGCTCAGACCTCCTTTGTATTCAGCTGAGGCCTGTACCCCATCTTCCCCCAGACAGGCCCGTCCTGGGGGTGGTCACAGCACCCCATTGCTCTCCCTGGATATGTCCACACATATCCTGATCCTACCACAGATCCCGAAGCCCAACATCACTCACAAGCTCTGTAGGAAGGTGGTGCCACCATCACTGAACAGCCCACCTATCGACAGGGTCTCCAGAGCGTAGGGTATGTTGCTTGGCAGGAAGGGAACCAGCTGTAGGTATTGAGAGGTGTAAGGTCCCCAGACCCAGAAACCCTTAGGTCCCACCACCCCCATGCTGTCCAGGTGGCCCTGAGGATGGACTAGACCAACCCTGCACACACAGCAGCCTTCACTGGAACCACAAAGGTGGCTTTACTGGCCCATGAAAACTCCCTGCAAAATGCACATCATGAGAGCAGTCTGGAGTGACACATAAACTTATCTGAGATGAGCAGACCAAAACCCACTGGTCCACTAACTCAGGGCCCCGGGAACCTCTGGACAGCTGTGCACCACTGTCTGTAGTTGATGTGGCCCCCCCAGAGCTGCACTCACACATCCCCAGCATGAGCTGAGTTCACCCCTATAGACTGGTGCCGCAGGGACACAGTCCCCATCCCCAACCACAAAACAATCAGGGTACAAGGAAGCTAGGAAGGGGTAGCAGCCGTGGGTGCCAGGAAGGAGGGACCATGCCAGGACTTCCAGGCTCCCACAGCCATACCGTGTGGCCAGCAGCCTCAAGGCTCTGCTTGGTCTCCAGTACAGCCCGCTTCATGGCTGGGGTGGGCATGGTATAGTTGTCTGTCTCATAATACCCTACACGCAGGGGCCGAGAGCTTGTGTAGACCTGGGGACAAGACACAAGAGTCACAGTCAGGTGAAGAGAGGGTGGCCCGAGGCAGGGCTCCCCGAGATCAGAGACGCTACCCAGCCTGACATATCTGTGAGGCCATAGCCTGGATCCTCTGAAAACTGACTGCCATGATGACTCTGCAAGGACGAGGATCTCACTGGTCATATGAGGAAACTGAGGCTTCAAGTCTAGATAGGGAGATAGGGCCAGAGTGCGGCTGGGACTTACCCAAAGCCACCCAATGTAGGGTGACAATGGTAGGTCCAGAAGCCAGGCATCCCATCTCCTGAGCTGAGGCTCTGCACTGCCTGTTTCAAGAATGCAAGTACTGGCTCCAGGGAGAAATTGTTCCAGACCACAGGACAAGGACCTGGTCTCCTCCTCTTCTCCTCTCCTCCCCCTCAGGAAGGGCTCATGAACCTCTGCGTTCAGTTAGAACACCCCCCTCTGCTGGGGAGAGGGAGCTCACCCCACCCAGCCCAGACCTCACACCTGCCAAGAAACACTGAGGCCCCCTCTCCTGCCCAGGGGCCCTCAGTCCTTCCAAGGCAACCTGGGCTGGGTGAGGGCAAGAGGTCTGTACAGGAGAAATGGAGCTTACGTCACACAGCTTACTGTCTACCTTTACTATTCCACTGTGTGCATCCATCTAACTTGACTACACCTGAATGCTTTGTTCATAAAGCACAAATAACTTTATTGTTCATTCCTGAAAGACCCATCGACTCTTCAATGGAAGTATCAAATGGCAGTTTATACTCAATGACTCACCTCAAAATCCGTACCTTGCTGGGTCCACCAATCCTAAACTATTACATACGGATCCTTACAAACCTCCACGCTGATATACCTGCCTTTAATCAGACTTCAAAATCTCAACAAATATCCCAACTTTGCCCCACCCCACCCCTCCCAGCCCTTGTGCTAATAAGGTTCTGTTGAGGCTGCGTTTCCCTCACCCCAGAAATCAATAAACTCAGCCTTGTCTGATCAACAGGCTGTTTTGGTGGTATTTTGAGGCACCATCATTTGACACTGCCTGCAGATCCCAGCTTTCTCTGGGAGACAGCTCCACTTTTAACTCACTTGGCCTACATGACAAGCATCCTACTGGAAGCTGGAGATATGGGCACAAATACCGAAGAAAGCCTCCTATTTGCTGAGACTTGAACACAGGAGGTACAGGAGTTCTCCCTTAAGTTGTTCTCAGCTAGGAAGTAGTTTCTCAGTGACAGCTGCAGAGTAGAGCCAGAAGGCAGGCATGTCCTCAGCAAAGGCGCCAGGCTGCTGAATTGGAAGGCTGTTTCTAAGTGCGGGTAAGGGCTCCATCTGGTGGCTATCTGCGGAGCAGCAGCTAACCCTGGGCTCAGACCCCTCGCGGCGGGGGGCGGGCGGGGGGCTGTTCACGATACAGGGCTTCCAAAGCCTGCCCATACTGCCTAGGAGTGCTCTCTGGACTCAGGAGCACCAGTGATATCTGAACCCATCCCCATGCCTACCCCTACCCCTATTCACCTCCTCCTTGAAGGGCAGGGGGGGTACGGTGGGGTCCAAGCGGAACATGTCCTCACACAGCAGAGCTCGCATGCACAGTGCCAGGCTCTCCACGTCCCGGGCCATGGGGCCGACTGACAGCTGTACTGTGGGGTGAGAAGGGGAGGGGAGAGAGATCGCTTGGACCCAATGGGCTCTGAGGCTAGGTCCAAGTAAGGGTTGGGCCATTGCCCAGGAATGTGGGCAGAGACAGGAGGTAGGAACTCAGACCTAGAGTGGCCTGGGAGCCAAACTCTGCCCCCAGGAGAGGCAGGGGCAGAGGTGGATCAGGGAGACCCCAGCCCCCTTCTCCAGGGAGCTGAGGGAACCGCAAACCTCACCTGCCACCTGTCCATAAACACAGCTCTTCAGGCCAATCTTGCTGAATGAGAAACACAAGATGTTAGAAACAAGAAATGGCCAACCTCTGCTCCAGTCACATCCACACAACAGCTTGGAGCTCTCACCACTTGAACTAGGAACCAGGCCAGTGGTACTGTGAAACTCCCTCCCAGCAAAACCCCAGGGAGGGAACCCCTCCCTGGAGCCCAGAGAGGTGGGAAGCTAGGCCAAGGTCACACAGCAAAAGGCCCAGAGCTCCCTCTACCCATCACCTATACCATACCTGAGGCGGTTCCCCGTGGGCTTGAGGCCACAGATGCCACAGAAGGAGGAGGGAAAGCGGATGCTGCCTCCGATGTCGGTGCCAAGGCCCAGGGGGGAGCCTCCAGCTCCAATGAGGGCCCCCTCGCCCCCTGAGGAGCCACCTGGGCTCTTGGAGGACTTCCACGGATTTGTGCTCTGGCCGAAGAGGGGGTTACTGCAGTCATAGCTGGAGGAAGCAGGAATGGGTCAGCCATGTCATGCTGGCACCAGCGACCCTACCTCCACCCTGCACCAGCGACCCAACCTGAGCATGGACTGGGGGACGTTGGTGTGCACGAAGGGCACAGCACCCTGCAGCTTCAGCACCTGCACCACCACGCTGTCACACTCTGCTGGCACCCCCTCATTCAGGCTCAAGCCCAGTGTCGAGTTCTGGCCCTAGAAGGAGGGTTAGGCACCAAGAGGGACATGGCTGGTGAGTCAGGGGCCCTTCAGCAGCACAGGGTCCACTCCCACCACCTCTCACAGGCCAAGGGAAGGCACACCATGGTGCCCTCTCAACCTGATACTTCCTCTGAGGGCCCAGGGTGACCCAGGACACAGAGCTGGCTGGCAGGGATGGGGAACGTTGAGGCCTGATACTGAGGCAGGGCACACCTTGTAGCTGAAGCACTCCTTGAGGCTCACAGGGACACCATAGAGCAGGCCCTGTTTTGGGGCCTGGGACAGCTGAGTCTCACAGTCTGCCAAGTAGGTGGTCACACAGTTGGTCCCTTTGTTCACTTCCCAGGCCTGTAGGAGAGAGAAATGGACACAAGGCAGAGTAA